AGTGAATGAGGAAGTGGTTGGATGGTTTCATCCAGAGCGTAGTGGTCAACGGCTCAATGTCCAGATGGAGATCGGTGACAAGTGATGTTCCTCAGGGGTCCGTATTGGGACCAGTACTGTTTAATATCTTCATCAATGACATAGACAGTGGGATTGAGTGCGCCATCAGCAAGTTTGCGGACGACACTAAGCTGAGTGGCGCTGTCAATACGCCTGAGGGACGGGACGCCATCCAGAGAGACCTGGGCAAGCTCAAAAAGCGGGCCCATGTGAACCTCATGAGGTTCAACAAGGCCAAGTGCAGGATCCCAGTTTCAATACAGGCTGGAGGATGAAGTGAGTGAGATCAGCCCTGCCAAGAAGGACTTGGGGGTACTGGTGGATTAAAAGCTGGACATGAGTCAACAATGTGCGTTTGCAGCCCAGAAAGCCAACTGTACCCTGGGCTGCATCAAAAGAAGCGTGGCCAGCAGGTCGAAGGAGGTGATTCTCCCTCTCTACTCTGCTCTGGTGAAACCCCACCTGGAGTACTGCCTCCAGCTCTGGAGCCCTCAGCACAGGAAATATTTGGACCTGTTGGAGTGGGTTCAGAGGAGGGCCGCAAAAATGATCAGAGGGATGGAACATCTCTCCTATGAGGACAGGGTGAGAGAGTTGGTGTTATTCAGCCTGGAGAAGGCTCCAGGGGGACCTTACTGTGTCCTTTCAGTGCTTAAAGGGGGCTTATAAGACATATGGGGACAAACTTTTTAGCAGGGCCTGTTGTGGTAGGACAAGGGGTAATGGCTTTAAACTAAAAGAGGGTAGATTTAGACTAGATAGAAGGAAGAAATTTTTTACAATGTACGTGGTGAAACACTGGCCCAAGTTGCCCAGAGAGGTGGTAGGTCCCTCATCGCAGGAAACATTCCAGGTCAGGTTGGACAGGGCTCTGAGCAACCTGATCTAGTTGAAGATGTCCCTGCTCATTGCAGGGGGGGTGGACTAGACGACCTTTAAAGGTCCCTTCCAACCCAAACTATTCTATGATTCGGTGATTATAAAAGGTTCTGGTTTGTTAATATTACGTACATCTACAGCTATTATTGATGAGGGTCTTTTAAATGGAGTTTTGTTCCTCTGTTGGTTGTGTGGGCTGCCGAGCAGGCTGAGTTCTAGAGTGCTGATGAGCAGACAAAAACTGTGATGACTGTATCAAGATAAACAAGCCATAACAAAACGGGAAGGACAAAAGTAAAAGCTATTTTCTTCTTTCATTAACTAGGACAAGTGTATTTTAAAAGGAAAATCAAATCTTGAAATTAGCTGTTCAGTGTGGCTGCCTGGCTCAGTGGGTTGGCTGTGCTCCAGGGAGTCTGCTCCTTTGATTCCGCTATAGAAAGCTAACCAGGATGGACAGCGTCTGCTGGCAAAGATCACTGGGGATCTATCCAACTGGTGTCCACTGCCACTCACAAAAGGAGAAAGGGAGCCTGCAGCTTCAGTCCTCTAGGGGATTCTTCAGCTGTGTTTGGATAGCTTGGACCGCAGCCAGGGATTGTGGAAGCCACATCCAGAGCTGTCGATCTGTCTCTGCCCTTATTCAGCCTCAGAATTTGCAAAACACTTTTACCATGTTCCTCCAAAACAATTCTTTTCACTAGGTGGCTAAGTTTTATTTGTGTTTCTCTACAGTTCTGTCAGCGGTACAAGCTGGGAGTGCCAAGCAGCAAGTTCAACCACTCAGCCTACGCTGCACATGCCTCTCCCGCGAGGATGAGCCAAAGGAGCACGGCGGGTGCCTGGCAGACAGACACCTGCACCGACACGAGGCGGGAAGCTGCCCGTTACTGTTCATGCTGCCCTGGTTTCCAGAAGTTTAAGATCCTTTCAAATTATAGAGACCCTCAAAATGCAAAAGGCAGATACGAATCCTGAATATGTTTGAAGCTTTCATGTTTGCTTATTCTTCATCTTGACCCTAAATACATCCCCAGTCCAAGTTTGAGGGGACCAGCCCAGCGCTGGGATGTGAACTGGGACCTCTGATATTCCACACAGGGGCTCGATGTGGGCATATGAGCTGGTTTCCGCAGCAAGGATGTGCGTAACATATCGCTTGTCTCCCGACAGCCGGAGTGATGCTATAGAAGCAGTTCAGGGCAGCTGGGACACACTGCGTAGCTCTGCTGGATTGTACTCTGGCTGACGCCACTGAGGGGAGATGACAAAATAGGCCCCAGGGTGGCTGTGGACATTGGACTTGCACAAGAAGATGGAACTCAAGACTGACATCTTAAAGATTGGCAGAGGTCAAATACCACCAACCCTCTGAATTCTGTTCTCTTGCAGGTAAGACTGTATTTCAGCTGCAGGCAAGCAGGTCTTAATCTTGTCGACCCCACAAGTGCCACAGATTTGCCATGAGTTGATACTTTCATACTGTCAATTGTGACATAAACATAACTTACACGCCTTGTCTGCAATGCTACTGCAGCTGCCAGTTTATCACATAGAATCACAGAATCGTCTGGGCTGAAAGGGACCTTTAAGATCATCGAATCCAACCATCAACCTAGCACTGCCCAACCCACCACTAAACCATGTCCCTAAGCACCAGTTACGTGCCCCTAAATCCAGTTAGCAGCTGGTCACAAGTGGTGTTCCCCAGGGCTCAGTATTGGGGCCAGTTCTGTTTAATATCATTATCAACAACCTGGACGAGGGGATCGAGTGCACCCTCAGCAAGTTTGCAGACAACAGTAAGTTGGGCAAGAATGTTGATTTGCTTGAGGGTAGGAAGGCTCAACAGAGGCATCAGGACAGGCTGGATTGATGGGCTGAGGCCAATAGAATGAGGTTCAGCGAGGCCAAGTGCCGGGTCCTGCACTCGGGTCACAACAACCCCATGCGGCGCCACAGACTTGGGGAAGAGTGGCTGGAAAGCTGCCCGGCAGAAAAGGACACAGGGATGCTCGTGGACAGCTGGCTCAACTTTCCTATGGACTTTGCTGCAAACTAGGAACTCATCCAAACTTTGGAGACACTTCTATGAATAAACGTGAACCACTTCTGGCTTGTGTCAGGTTGTGTGGCTTTGTGGCAGGCATTTACCGTTAGGGGTACTGCAGTAGGTAGGAAGGTATTTACTCCATTTGCTTCCGTCAAATTTATTTAAGGTGAGGAAAAAATTGCTTTGAGTCAAATAAATGTTTTATTCAAGTTGAAACATTTTTGGTTTTTTTTTCTTTTTAGAAAAATAGTATTAATTATTTTTTGATTCAAGCTATATTCTTTCCAAACACTGTTCTGGTACAGACATGTTGAATCAAAACAATCCATCATCTCTTCTGATTTGCTCTTTGTTTTCCAGAGCTACTTTTTACTCTCAATGACCAAGGGAATCTTTACCATGACTCCTAATCTGCCTGATTCCCTGGGT